CGGCAGCGGCAGCAAGAGACATAAAGAGTAGCGGACAACCCTCGAGAGAGATGAAAATGCGACTGAAAGAGCAGTGACTCAGTCTCCCAAGTCATTTCTACATCGCGGTGTGATCGTTCCGCACTAGACAAACTCGGCGCTGCCTTCGGGGAAGCTTACTGGAAGCCTCTTATCTGCCCGAAAAACTTCGGATCCAGTCGCCCTAAAGTCGGAGCGAGCCGGTGAGCTCGGCGACTTTCGACCTCCGCGGCCTGCAGATGCAGAAAGGTGCAAAAACGACGAAGCCGCTTCTTTCGGTTTCCTCTGGTCCTCTAGTACTCTAGACGTGCAGAAGCGCGGCTTTCGGGCAGAGGATGTCCAGGATGACCCGTCAACTCACATGTGGGATGGAGATGTTGTCCGAAAGAGGAAGCGAAGCTGGCGAAGCTTCCGGGTGTTCAAGGGGCTGCTAAAAAGAAAGCCGGGAACGGCCTGCGGGGCCTGCGGGGCCTGTGGGGCCATCGAGGAATTCAAGCCGAAGAGAGCCAGATCCAGGAGCGAGGGAGTTACGGGCGTGGCCTCTGAGGCCAGCCCCGCCAGCTTCGGGGCCGCCAGCCCGCGCAGCCCGCGCAGGTCGAGGTTTCGGAGGAGCTGCAGGCGCTGCAGCTGCAAGCGCCGCCCGCGCAGGCGCCTGCGCCGGCGCGGCAGCAGGCGACCAGCCCTCCGTCCTCGGTTCCGGCCGTCCCGGCAGTCACTCCCGGCTCCCGGGCGCCTCGGCTCTTGTCCGCGCCTCTCCTCAAAACTCTGGAGCTCTCAGTCATGCCATGCCTGCCATGCCTGCCATGCCTGCCGTGCCTGGCCAGTCCCACGACCCAAGCTCCAGCCCAACCCCTCCGCCGCTAAACGCAGAGCCTGACCATTAGGTGCCAAGCTGACAGAGCCCCGTGCTCTTCGGCTGGCTGTTGAGGCTCTGGTGTGGCTGTGCCTGAGCGTGGGAGGGCGGGAGACACACTAACACGCTGTGCCGACAGCTAGGGCAGCTAGGGGCAGTCGGAGACAGCAACAGACTGGTGCTTTGGGAGGACTAGGTTATTGGTGGTGTGTCCTGGGAGGAAGGCCCAGGCCCTGCACGTCACATGGAGCTGTGGAGTTCAGGCTGCTCTTCAGGCTGCGTTACGGGCAATTTGGGCTTTAGGGCCTCGAGGGTTTCGGCTGCTGGGCCCGAACCGGGATTCGGCCGTCGGAGCAAAGATGCAAACAGCCCGCGACCAGCCTCTGCTGCTGCCAAGACTGCGTCTCGGACTCTGTGGCGTCGGAGTCGGCGTGACCCGTGCAGACCGTCAACCTCTCAGAGTGCAGCCTGTGGCAGGTCTTATAAGGATCATAAGGGAACAGCCTTGGAAGATAGCCTCAGACAGGAGGATGCGGTACAGTGGAGTCCAAAAGGGGCCCAAAGAGAAGGAGCACACCTAAAGGCAGACTCTCTAGATCGACTCTAGCAGCCTGAGCCTCAGAAGCCCCGCGACGCCCGACGCTGCGGCGGGGGCTGCTGCGGGGGGGCCCCTTTGGCGAGCTGCGCCTGAACTCGCGGCGCCTGCTGCGCTCTTCTTTTGATCGCGCCGGACAGGGATCTCAGGCACGGAGCCCGCCCATCAACTTCCCAAACCGCCCAGGCCCAAACCTAGAAAACCACTTTCAACGGCAAAAGGAAGGCTCTTCCAGAGACTTGGAAGAGAAAGCGGCAAAGGCCCCTGGGAGGACAGCTGGATGTCGCCTGGTCGCCTGGGGTGGTCCTGGGTCTTACGGCCCATGTGCTGGACACGGAGATTTTTTGCTTGCTTCGCTTGGAACGAAGTGGGAGAAATCATCTTCGAGCTGCCTCAAGTTGAAGCTAAGGGATATTTCTTCATGTCATCCCGAGTCGTTCCTCCCAGCACCGCCCTGAACCCCAATAAGGCTTGGCATGTCGGGTCCTCATGCGCTCAACCTCTCAACGCAGCCTCAATTGCTTCTCGCACCTATTGTCTCGTGACTTTGAAAGCTGAAGTCACTGTTGGTGTTGCGAGCATTGCCCACTTCGGCACAGCAGCGGCACGGACCGCTACGGACCGCACAGTGCACCGTGACTGTGACCGCCGTGGCCGCTCTGAGCCTCGAGCTAGAGGCAGCAAGCGTGGCCAGTCCGTGGCCCAAGCTTTATGACACGCTGGTCTGTTTGGTCTGTTTCTGTAAGGCACAAGTGTTGAGAGGGCCTCTCAGCCGCAAGCCGCAAAACATCCCATCAGAGGACGCTGTCGAGCGGCGGCGGCTGCAGCTGCTGCTGCGGCTGTGGGCTCGGGCTATGCATCAGCCATGCCTGGGCCTGACTAAGCTCTCGCTCGGTCTAGGCCCTCAAATCCCAGTCCCTTCAGTCCAAATAAACGCGCGCGTGCGCGCGTGCGCGCGAGCGCGCGCGCGGGGGATTTAAAGCTTAATTACCGAAGGCCAGCAAGTGCGGCAGGCAGTGCCGCAGGCATCGTCTTCCCTTCGACCGCGGTGTCGCCCAGCTTCTCGCCCGAGAAAGCAGGCGAAGCACCTGAGAGACGTGACAGGCCTCTCGCTCTCAGCCGCTCTTCAGCCTCTTTGAACCCCATGCTGAGCTGTCAGCTCCTTCCTCCTTGAAACACTGGTCTCTGAGTGCGCTGCAGACGGGGCCTTGCTCAACGAAACCCAGTCCGGAGTTCTGGCCTTCGCAGACGCAAATGCGTGAGAATGATCTCTATACAGGTTCTCACTGTACTTGAAGGTCTCTCTACATATATGGTCAGGCGTCTGGCGTTCCCGCCCCCCC